AGCATGCATGTACAAATATCTCACACTTGTTTCTGATTGTTGATTATTACAATGCATGTTCATTGAACACTGTACTGATTGGTGTATGTGTATATTGAATTACTATTATTTTTGCTGGAGGAAAGTTTTTGAGATTTTCTCAACTTAGAGAAAATGTTTGTCATGACAGTGAATATTTTGCTGGGAATCCTTAAGAAGATTTTTATTTAATTTCACTGAACAGGTCTTAAATTCACACAATTTTTTTCTAAAAGTCCATATAGTAATTTGAAATTTTATGAGCTGGGACCCTCGTCTTTGTCTGATGTGCCAGTTATTAATAATTAATTGTCATCTGTAATCTGTATTTGTTCAGGACTAAATCAATCATATTAATACAATTCATTTTGGTTGACATTACCATCTGTTTTATTTTTTATCATAAACTGTTATCATTATGATAAATATCTAATGTGCAAATAATACATGTTTTTTTGATAGTGATACACTAATGTCCTAGCAAATAAATCTTATTGTACCATATTTTCTCTATTAGAAGTTCACCTCTAATGAGAAGGCTCATGTGAAATAAAAATATTGTACTCCTGTAATCAAGATTAGTATGGCCTTTTTGAGCTAATCTTTAATCAATCCAGTGAGAAATGAAACATTCAAACTCATCTAAATCTTGCTGCAGTGGAGGAAATAAATAGTGTTCGAACAAATTTTGGAAAATCTCTTGATAATTTGTACATCGGAAAACAGATTTTATAATGCTTATTTGTATAATTTTACTGAGAACTAATTTTATTGGCCATTGTTTTTTTTAAAAAATTCACTGTTTAGATGGTCTGGGAGCTTCAAATAGATTTCCTTCAAGTGATTCGGTGAACTAGGCTACTGAAACTTCAAAATGGTTTGAATTGTAAAATTGGTGATTAGGTCTGGAAAGGATTGTGCTCATTTATCTTTATGTATATTTATATATGTATATTTAACAACTGGCTGGAAAACAGTAGGCTGACCACGAGGTTGTAATTGGTTGGCATGGCAACCAAAATAATGGCAACTTAGAGGGCTGTAAAGCAAATACAATACAATGTTTTTCAATGCAACGCATGAGGCATCAGGGGATTCGTATTCAGAAAAGTGAACACATTAATTTTACAAGGATTTCTAAAGCCCTGTTCTGAGGCAGTTCAAAACTAGGGACTTGTAGATTAACCTCAGTGTGTGTGTGTGTATGTTGGATCCTACCACTTGTCTGTTCACACCTTTATCTTAGGCCGATCACACATCATGAGATAAATATGCATAATTTATAATGGCCAAATGGTGCATCATACATATATATCATGTCACACATACCGGTACATGTATGCACATATATTTGTTTGACAATTGGATTTGAAATGGCTGAATGGCAGCCATGTTAAAAATGCATCAAAATCAATAATTTCTGCTCCTACATTACTACAAATGCTTTTTTCGGTCACACATGCTATTATTCAGACTTTTTACTTATGATGAACGTATTAGGATTTCGATTTACATCATTTTGTTTTTCACACCAACAAACATTTTGTATTTAACGAATGCCATATCTCTGAAATGACTATTTGCATTCAAAACTTTACACTTACTAGTGCATTTGAACATCATGTCACACATATTAACTAACATGCATTTGTTTCAAGTTCTGATTCAAATGGTCGACTCAGTTCAGTTTTGTAAATGTTGTCATGTCATGACATGATTTGTTGAACTTGTTGAAATTCTTTTTTGCCTATTGGGAGACAGATGATAGTACATATGTGTGATTGCTTGTGATAACAGTAACTAGGAGACGTGCAAGTTTATACATTATCAGGTTAGATGACCACCTTGGCCCAAGTCCAAAATACAACAGATGTTATCGCTAAAACCACACCAAAAGAGATAGGACCCTTCACATCTTCACATTATTAATATAAACAAATTGGTTTCTTTTAACAATTATTTCTGTTTTTCTACACATGATTTTAAAATGTAACTGTTGTCTCTCCTGACTTTTACATGTAGTCGTGAATTTTTGCCACAGAAATAATATGACTACTTAGAACTATACAAAGAAATTAGTATGCTGGTCTTACAATGTATGGTCTTCAGTTGTAACAAAAAAATGTAATGTTTTGTTTCGTTGAGATAAAGTTGAGAACAAGATGTGCTACTAAGAGTACTTTAAGGAATTTCGAGGTAATACACATTTCTGTATCTTCTCTATTACTATATGTAAATGCCAGAGGTGTATCACTGGTAAAAAATGATTCATATAACGATCCACTACTAGTATGCCATAAATGCAAGTTGTTGGTTGGAGCACATCTCCAGTATAATCTCTGAAGATTTTTTGACAGAATGGTTGGTCATTTCCATAAAAATAAAACCTAATTTGCATTATAATATTAATTACCATAGGTTAATTCAAATAATAGCCTTCATTAGCATAATAACTTTGAGTACTGTTAAATTGCAGTGTTAAAAGATGCAAGGGGAAAATATCACTTCTATTGGGGATGCGGTTCTAATAGAGCAAATATGGTCGTCCTGTTTCAGATTGGAATTGATTAGCAGCGGCTTATCACCATGGACTCTTGGGCATCATTCTCTTATAAGTTGTGAGTTTATCATGACAAAACACTCAACTCAAAGATTGTAGTCTATTATCGGTCATTTTCTTTGAACATTCATATACATATATTGCTCTAAATAGGTCACTGGGTAAAAGGTCCTGATGGCAAGGTTGTGGCATAGGGGATGGGGAAGGGGGTCAACGATTTACACCAGGCTGACCATGGCAGACAGTCGTGCAGGGAGGGGGGTACGCTGTTGCCTAGACAACGGGAGAGAAGCAAAAGCTACACTGGTTTGTTGAGCATATGAGGCATACAACGAAAAAAACTATTTTCCAAACTTTTTGTTTATAGATAATTACCAGTAATCAAGGTTTTCTTAGTAGTTTTAAATGTTTTCAAAAAGATCAGTGTGAAATATTAGACTTTTTTTGGCGAGGTCTAAAAATATCTGAAAAACAAGAAATTACACAAATTTAAAATTGTACATCTGCTTTTGGTATGCTTTCACTGATTTTTATTCTTTTATACAAATTTGTTTGAAAAAATCTTATGAAGTCTCTGGAAAAATATGAAATCTTTTGATCTGGGATCCAGATTACGTGTACAAATGTGTGCTTTTTAGATATGCCTAAGCTATGTCGTATGGTGGCCAACATCATGATAATTGTCAATAATTACGAGATTATCAAATTTTTATTAATTCATTGTGATTTTCTGTGTTTTTTTTTTCTTTCTTTGTTAATTCTCGTCTATATAGAATATGTATGATCGGCTGAGAGCATTAAGGGTAGGTTTGGTTACTGAAGCCAGGTTTCTCTTGGCCTTATCACGCTGGCTGCATTGTAATAAACTGTCTTATCAATTATGCAAATTTTGTATTATTATATGCACTGTGGTGGTATTTTGAACTTTGACCTTACAGATAAATGTAATATATAAGCTTGTTTAGTAATAATAATTATTATTATTTATCAATTAAACTGGACTATGTTTCTTACAGGGTTGTTACCGAATTTTTATTGCAGTACGTATTTATGGCCACTTTAAGATTATGCCCGCAAAAAAAATAGTTTCTGGTCAATTTTTTTTTCAAAATGAATGTGGGCATGTGTTTTTTAATTTTACTTTAAAAAATATTGTGGAACTTGTGCTTTTATTTTGATTATTTCAAATGTTTCTAAAATTTATCATAAAAAAATGAAAAAAAAAATATTTTGGTGCACAGACTTTCAGCTGATTGGAAACTTGAATTTTTTTTCTTAGACTTTGCAATAACACATTAGTGTGAATAAAACTGAATTGGATACTGCAAAGTTGAATTTCTTGGTATGCTCGCAGATTGCTGTATTTGCACATAAACTATTGTTTTAAAATATATTTGGTAAAATTTGGACTTTGTGCTAATCTGATCTCATCACATGCAGAGAGGAATTTATAATGTGATAAAACATCTTTATTGTTGAAATATCTGTCTATTGCTATTTACATTTAAATGAATCATATAAGAGTTTTCAACTTTACACATATTTATCAAATGTTACAGGGTACCATTGTAAAACGGTGCACTTTTGTAAAATTGGTTTGATCTGTCCAGTTTAAATCATGTAACGATCACAAGATGATGACTCAGTCACCAAGTTAAAGCACTCAATGTTGCTGTTTTGGTGTCTGAAGCCTTATGCCAGCTGCGGTAATACTGACAGTCAGTGTGGGGGTATAATTCAATGGAAAATTATTAACACATTCAAAATGCATGCAATATGTGTACGTGTGTTAGCTGGCTTTAATATGCGATAACTCTATGTGCTGCATGCAAGTCATAGAGGGCGCTGTGCATGGTGAAATATTAGTTGCAGCCATGTTTTGTATTCTGGTTTATGCTACAGAGAATCAGTATTACAATTCATTTTATCATGAATTATTCATGAACAATATAACAATAATTGTTGATGTTGCTGATTCTCATTGGTTCGTTTCATTGCCATCTTCATGCATTCGTTGTCAGAGTGCTAGAATTTATTTTTTCCTTTCAAGACGTTGAATCAAAGGGAATGAAAATTACAAAATGCAGCTTTGATGACCTTTAATTTTTTTTATGATCTGTCTTTTTTCACACACACAAAAAAAATAATGATGAATTTTCCGTATTATTCTCTAATTTAAGCATCAGAATTAGAAAGGCATCAATATTTCAAATTGTTAAACATTTTTAAAAAAATAAACAGAAAATTTATACACGCAGGACATAAATATTTGAATAATGTTTCAATTTTGAAAGCTTAATCAACGTGATAAGTTAAATAATTGTTTTTATGTCTTAACGTGTAATATCAACTCGGTCATTGTCACATCAAGGTTGCCCTTGTTTTCATTTGCCTTTGATGATATCTCTGTTGCTATACGCATTGATATTTCCGCATCAAGTGAAACATGTCTATAACAAATACCAAAAGTCAAAGATAATTGTTTAGAGAGATATTTGTCTTGGATATGTTTCAGTTTCCTATTTTGCATATTTATTTGCGACTTGCATTCCTGATTGACGATATCATTTTATTCCAGAAAAGTTTGTGTCACCGTCTTTTTAGATATGTTACTTCGACAGGTAACAAACAGAATGGATTGTAGAGAAATCATAACTATTTGCTCTTTGCTTTTCAAAATCACGTATTTTCAATCAATTCTCTATTTTTTTTTTTCAATATAGGGTTTGTCACCGTCGCCTAAATTCAACCAGTCGACAGTTTTAGAAGTACGAGAATCTACGCAGATTTATCAACAGCATCAGCTGGAGAGGGAGCGACTGCAGCAACAACTGCAGCAGAGAGAACGGGAACGAGACTTGATGCAACAACAGTTATTGGGAACACCACCTTCTAGTTTGGGTAACATCAACCAGGTAGGGCAGTCGCTCATAACGTCATCTCCGCAACATCACCAGCTAGCGGCATATCCATCAAACATGGTAAGCATTATATCAACGTTAAATTTTGGATAGGGAAAAAAATGGTTTAAACTTAACTAAGGCTATTTAATGCAGTGAAAATATCTAATACCTTGCATGCCCCAGGTTTTCTGTTATAACATTTTTGGTGCAAGCGAGTAATAAGATGCTGTCAAAGGTCAACTGGTCTATTATGCAATCATTTTTCTCACTCACTAATATTCAAATTTCCATTTATACCCAAACTATCAAAAAAATAATACAGAAATACATTAAAATGTTGCACGGTAAAATTATGGCAGTTTGCACCGCCAATTTCATCACAAATTCACAAAATAATCCTGTTTATAGTCTGCAACTTTCCTTCAGAAAATTGGGACAAAAATAGCCCAATTTTTTGAGTAAAAACTGAAAATTGACTCAAATTTTGTCTTTGAAAAAACATGACATGCCAGCATCCCTGTTTAAAATTAGCGTTCATTTCAAAAATAGTGAAGAATATTGGAAAAAAGTACAGAAAAATTTGGACGAATGAATTTATTTACTCGTTGCTAGACATAATAGTCTGACTATACATTTATCTGGAAGTTTACAATGGTGTATGTTGTTTTGTTGTCGCTGAAAATTGCTAAAAGTTGAATGACCTTTTACAATAATAGATCCGGTCAAATGCTGACATAATGAATCACTTGTTCGGCTCAATTTTATTTTTGTCAGAGAATTTTAGTTTTCGCACCACTATTCAAAGGCTGTTTTACAATCATTTTGTCATTTAGATATCCACTGCCATTTTTTGTTTTTTTTCGTTGAGTTTTTATATCAAATTATGTTGCTGCTGTTGTTTCTAATAAAACTTCACATTGTTTCGTAGACTCATCAGTTTTTGTTGGAATTTTTCACGGGAGTGAAAATAAAAGTACTTTCGATTGCTTTAATTTTCCTGTGAAAATCGTGAAATTATATATCTGAACTTTTTACTGACTACGTACACGGTTACTATCGTTAAATTTTGTCAAATTGCCGATTCATATATTTTTATCAGGAACAATTTACAGATTATGTACTCCTGAGATTCACCGTGATGAGAAATATCATCAATAAAGTCTTTGTTTAAATATTTGTTCAGTTTTCTGATGCTTTTAGTCTGGTCTCAAAACCCCATAAATAATTTCATCAACAAAAGGCTTGCAAATTTCACTGTTAGATGGTCAGAGGGGCTGAATGTGACCACACTACGAAAAAAAAAAATTGTAAGATATAAACAAAACAGCTCTATTCCAATCTTATTTTTAGCTCCGCTGTCGACTTTGTCGAGCCGAGCTTATCATATGAGTGATTGTCCGTCGTCGTCGTTCGTCGTCGTCCGTCGTCCGTGTCAATGTTTTACTTTTTCGACTTCTTCTTGAAAACTACAAGCCTGAATGCTTTGATACTTGGTGTATATGTACCTTGGGTAGACCTCTGTCAGATTTGTTCATTTCATGATGATATCTTCAATTCTCTAATTTTGGTGAATATTTTTGGCATTTTTAGTAAAAAGTGATATTTTCGACTTCTTGTTGAAAACCGCAAGTGCAA